TAATTTATAATATTAACACACTTACCATACATGTGAGGCTTATAATTTGAGTGTTGGATTTAAAAATAATAAAACAAAAAATGGTAGGTATCAAAGGAATAAATGAAAATTAAAAATAAAAATAAATTTGAAAGAAATAACTAAAATTTGCTTTAATTATGGATGTTAATAGGGTTAATGGCTCTGCTTTGTGTCCAATCAGAAATTGACTCGATTTGAATCTGATTGACCCAAACATAACTCGTTGGCAACTCAAATGACCCGAATACGACCTAAAAACCCATTTTGATTAAAAAATTGCATAACTTGTCAAGTATAAGCTTAGATTAATTGATTGATAATAAGAAGAGCATAAGAACAGTATGCTAAATTTTTTAGGTCAGGTCCAAGTTGTGTTGACGGGTCGAGTCATTCCATAACTTGGATAACTAGTTTATATTTTTACTTAAATTGCCTTTTATTTTTGCTTCTTTTAAAAAATAAGAAAATAATTATATGAATTAAATTTATATATTATAATATTATGTCCAATATATATTCATCTTCAATATTTTTTTAAAAAAATAATTATATCATATTTTAATCTGAATCATATCATATTCATCAAATTATCTATAGAATCAAATTAAATCAGCTGATTTGACTTGGATTAGGTGAATTATAGGTAAATAAAAAATTAAAAAAAAATCTAATAATAACAACACCATTATCATTCAATCACATTAGTTCTTCAATGGTTAGTTGTGAGATTTGAACTTTCAAAATAAAATAAAATAATTTGTTATCTTATAGAGAAAAAAATATGAAGGAATATAAAGATTTTTATTATGAAAAATGACATTATTTTCTAGAATCTTATCTTTCCTTTATCCCTGCAACCTTTTCCTACAAGCTTTAACTATTGGTAGCAATAACTCTAAAAAGAGCATTGCACATCCCAAAAGCTTGTTCCAAATTCATAATTGTGCTAGATTTCTTTATCATAGAAACATCAACATCAAGAAACTTCTATCTTATATATATGATCCTGAGATCAAAGGGGACAATCTACTCAGATTTAGGCTTCATTTGGAATGATTTTTGTATTGCTTCTTAAAATCAAAACAGTTTTTTAGTACAAAAGTAAAAAACCATCACAAACTAAGGCTTTGTTTTGGGACGTCTTTTTATTGCTTTTCAAAATAGCTTTTTAGTAGAAAAATTAAAATTTATATACTAAAAACTGGTTTAAAAAGCAGTAAGAAAGATGTCTCAAATGACGTCTAATACTTCATTTATGACAACTATCATAGTTTTCTTACTGCTTTCTCAAACTGCTTTCTAATACAAAAAATAATTTTGATCCAGAAATTTTTGTACCAGTAAATTACTTTAGAATGCAGTAAGAAAATAATTCCAAATGAAACCTTAAGCTCTGTGGATTGACACCCTCTTATTTGGCACAAACATTTTCCAATTAAATTATCTTGTTATGCCTGGTTATGCATCATGAATGGGTTAAAAATTATTGATGTTCTATATGCTCAAAAGATTATTGTGTAGAGATAAAATTAGTTTGTGCAGATACGTACAACGTCCGGAGACAAATTAGAATGTGCCACGTCACCTGTATGTTGTGTACCAGATAGATGGCGCATTTTGATTCACCTCTAATAAGTCTGATGTTCGCACAAAATAATTTCTCCTCCAAATGCCTGCATTGGACTTCTATTTTTTGCTCACTAATGTTTTATTTGGGACAACTTTATTATTGTCTTTTAAACAACTTTTTAATAAAAAATTTTATATTAGAAAGCTGTTTTAAACAAAAAATTCTTTTTAAATTAGAAACTTGTTTTATATTTCAAAGATAATTTTTTTTTAGAAATATATTTCAAAAATAAAGCTCGGGTCATAGTTCAAAAAAGCCAACTCGAGCTTGATGCTTGTGGAACAAACTCGAGATTGACTCGTCCTTTAATTCAGGGCTCGACTCGAGCTTAATATAATTAGATGCCATTCACCAACAAATTTAAATTCAAAACAAATTATTAAAAATGCATAACATAAAATACATTAAATCTATTGCTTGACTCAAGGCATAAAAGTTGATCTTTAAGTCACTTTAGCAAGACTGATCAGATTGTTAAAGCTTGAAACACACTCATATTTTGGAGAGAATCCTTTTCTTAGAGAAAATTATGAATTATTTACTTAGTTGCCACACGTTTATAACAATACTTAACATCATAATCCACTAAAATAATATTAATGTATTGTTGAACTAATTGACAGCTTATTTTCCTGCAAGGCATTAATATTGTATCTCTTTGTAGTTCTATCATCATTTCTATTTGTCATGACTTCAGTTATATATTTATTATATATATATTAAAAAATAATAAATTTAAAACATAAAGTAAAGATAATTATCTAAAATGAAAAATTTTAATTTACTTGATCAATTATACATTGCAATCATATCAAAATAAATCTAAGAATTAATATATTGCACTCATTCTTCGAAAAGCGATTGAATTATTTTTAAACAAATTACAAATATAGTTCCGTGTTAGCGATAAAAAAGATATACGCAATCCAATGGAGTGAATAATAAGAAAACATTTGCCCTAATTGTAAAAATGAATACAATTCACATTCTAATCTCAATGGATGCTAACCTTCGATGATTCGATACAATAATATGATGTAAAGAAAAAAAGTTTTTATGGAGTTCTAAATTCATGCAGTAAATTCAACTCGCAGATAATAGAAAAATAAATCATAAAAAAGTAAATGTGAAAAGGAAAAAGCACATCATAAATTTTTATAGTGGTTCGGTCAACCTCGACATACATCAACTGCCCGGAGTCCTCTGCTCCAGGTATTGCACTAATACTAAGTGACTCTCCTTTTTACCACCACAACAATGCGGAGAAGCCCTCAAGTTAGAAATTCATAGAAGTTATGTGTGGAATGAGATATAAATAAAGTCAATGAGACCATATGTTCTTTATAAAACACGCTAATGAAGAAAGAATAACAATTCTTATTTTGTATATATTGATGACATAATTGTTACAAATAAAAATAACGAAGAAAACGAAACTCATTGTAGAATTCGGGATTAAGAACTCGGCGAGCTTAAGTACTTCCTTGGCATACAAGTAGCTCAATCATAAAAGAAAACATTATATCTAAAACTAAAAGGCTATATTGATGCTGACTATAAGATCGAGTGTTTAGAAGATCAACTTCATGATGACAAACATTATTGGATGAAATCCTATAGCATGGAGAAGAAATAACTTATATTCTCAAGATTAAGTGCAGAATTGAGTTTAAAGCAATTGCCCAAATAATTTGTGTTTAAAATTTATACTTCTAAGATCTCAAGATTAAGAGTTCGTTTGGGACAACTTTCTTATCGCTTTCTAAAGCAGCTTTTAATATAAAAAATTCTTAACAACAACATCAAGCATTTATCCCACTACGTGGTGTCAGTTACATGAATCTTTTTTCTCTATTGTGTCCAGTTAAGAATCAAACATCCTACCATTAATACAATGTATTAAAGGATTCATGTCATGATTATTCGACAAATTTTATGCTGGCATGTCATAATATAAAAATTTATTAAACTAAAACTTTTTGTACTAAAGAACTGCTGTAGAAAGAAGTAAGAAAGCTGTCCCAAATGAAGATTGAATGGAAAGGACTTTTAACAGTACATTATGATAACAAATTTACCGTTAGCATTGCTCACAAGCTAAAATCTAAAGGTACGACAACAGTATAACACCATCAATCAGATGAACAAGTATAAAATTCGGTATTTTTGTACATTTATCTTCTTTATGTTTTCTATTCTTTTCTACCCCTATTATTTGAATAAGATTTCATCTATTGCCTAATAGATCTAGCAACTGAGATTGCACAGAAAGATAAGATAGTTCTGAGAACATCAACTTACAATATGGTTGGAGGATGCTAAACAACAACGATACAGGACATCAGCGTATGGAATAAGATATATCAGCAATCTTTTGCATCATCCACAATATCATTTGGGACAGCTTTCATTTTGCTATCTAAAAAAGTTTTAAGTACATTTTTTTTATGAAAAAGAACATTTTCTACTAAAAAGCTGTTTTAGAAAGTAATAAGAAAGCTGTCCCAAATGAAATGTATATTAAATAGGCACAAGGATTCACCAAAACTGCAGTGCTCACAGATTGCTAAACTATTTCCTATCAAATCTTTGGACTTGTTTCTAGCGATAATTCACATCAGCTTGTGGAGCTATTTAAGAACTCAACAAAATGTTTATATAGAAGTTTTTTTTTTATTCAAAATAAAAGATCAACCTAAGTGCACATTTCTTATGCTTCTCAAGGAAGTCATAAACATGTATATCCAATACCTTGGACTTGGACAAGCAAAAAGCTATGCCAAATCGCAGGTTCCAATTCAAACTAATCTTTGTGATAGAAGTGTGGCCGGCTACTTTGCACTTTGTAACAAGGCTCAGCTTTAGAAATCATCCTTATGGTATGACAAGACATTAAACATTATAAGCACTATAAAAAACCAAAAAATGGTGAGAAAATATCCAATTTATGGTCGTCATGGGGGAATTGATCTTTTATAGTGCGCAAATAGTCTAATATGATGATTTGGAGAAACGGTAAGTAAAAGAAAGCATTCCATTGCTGATTTTGTAAGAAACAACGAAGTTAAAGCTAGTTCAGAGGTCCCACGTCAAATTCTGAAAAGTAAATTAAGGCCTTTCTTTGTTCTAAAATTCATATCCTCCCACCCTCGTGTCACTTCTGGAACCTTCTTTTCAGCTTTAACTTTATCCTCATCCAAAGTCCAAAAATTAATGCAGCTCATCATGGTTTATTAGTTGGGAGCTTTTGCTACTGATCAAGAAGTCTTAGATTTGAGTTTTACATATGTGATGTTCGTGTAAGTTTGTCTTACTTGACCTAAATTTCCTAAAAAAGGTCCAAAAAGGAAGCCACATTCATCCAAAAAAATAATAATAATAACAAAATTTAAATAAAATATGATGATTTAAATAATTTAAAACTACATTTCTACATTTGATGGGATTTATAACAGTGCGAGTAAATGACTCAAAAGATTTTAGAACATTATAATTTATTTATTGAAAAACTAGTCAAATATGACGAAACAAAGGAACGCTCAATTATTTGATATTAAGTATTTCAAGTAAAATAAAATGAACATGGGTTGATAAGAAACATGTTTTTAGATAGAAGTATCAACCATTTGGTAGATATCAAATAAATAGCATAATCAATTTTGAAATTGTAAACAAAAAATTTTAGAGTGGTTGAATATTAAGCAATATTTGCATAGTTGCACGTGATTAATCTTTAGACTATTTTATAACCACTACTTTTATTTTTAAAAGTCTTAAGAGAGAGTTAAGGACATATAATTCATCGAAAGCACAAGTGAGGCCTTATATAAATAATAAATCTATAAGTATTAAGGTATGCTATGTGCATTTTATTTAGGTTGTTGCATCTATGCCAATTCGTAAAGAAAAAGTCAATAACAACTCATCTAAAGCCTATGAAAAATGCACTAATACAAGAATTACATACGACTAAATGTTGATCAAATTGAAGAAACTATAATTTATGAATATTCTATTGAGGGTGCATTGATGCAAAATACATTTTATGGTCACAATCTAAATTTATATTTGACGAGAGTGACTCTGCATCTACATTAATGTTGACAAACTTATTTTATGTAAACTCTTAATAGTAAATGTTTTAAAATAAAATTGAAATATTAAACTACATCCATTTGGTCAAATACTAAAATGAGTAATCAATCAATACTAATTTTTTGAGTCATTTAGATAAGTTTTATTTAAAGAGTTTGTCCATGCATATAGGCATATATCAAAATTATTTGGTTTATTTGGTACTAATTTTATTAGCATTTTATTTTCTAGGAATTAGTTATAGGTCATTATTAGTATTCCTTATGACACATATTAGTATTTTAACATTTTATTACTTTCTTCATATTGCTTGCATGATTGTCATAGAAAAATAACTATTAATTATCATAATTATTAAGCTTTTAAATTCAAAAAGGTTTTCATCATAAACATTTAAGAAATCAAATGTGGGAAATACATAATCATCTAAAACTATAGAATATACAAAAACCAACACCTACAAATTAGATATTCATGAAAATTTTGATATTAATCTAGTTTTAAATGTGCTAGATTTGACCTTATTTCATATATCTGCTATCAAATCCATAAATTTTGCTATCTTTCCATCTCCTTCACAACTTGCATCTAATTCTCTATTAAATAATTCCATACAGTTAGTTCCTAAAACGATTCAAGATGATAAGTTTATGTCTATTGCTATTAGTAGATTCTAAAGATACCTTGCATACTGGTGAGATAGACCTGCTTATAATAACTCATGAATTACTTCATAGTCAGCACAAAATTTATGTCCCAATTTGCTTGATAAGTATCAAATGTCATTCATTGGAGCTAAATCTTTCCAAGCCTAGCAAATTTATGTGAGATTGTCCCCTTCTACTTTATCAAAATTGTAGTTTTGTTGCCGCTTGAAAGAAATTATTTGTGAGGCCCTACTATTAGGTTGCTACTTAATTTTTCTCTATTACTTATTCACTACACTCATGTGCGATGTCGCGCCGCTAATTGGGGATTGCTCTATTGCCTCTACACGTAGGGAATCTATTTTAGGGGACTATCATTGTTGTTAATTGGGCATTACAATTTCTTTATGCACCTAGTTATTCTTTACCTATAATTTTTTCAACCAAAGTCGATTTTGCCTAAGAATATGTCTTTCTTTTTCTACTTCTAATGTGAGATTTGGATAAAAAGATGGAATTTGATGGCAATATGTATTTGAGCTAGTTGATCTTATGTCAATCACATAAACTGACCTAAGGATAAGAAGTCAATAAATAGACTTTCTAAGGCTTGTAATTAAATATCTAATTTAATAAAATTTCTACTTCCAATTTCAATCTTTTGTGTGCAAGATAGATACATTATTCTTCCAAAGTGGTCCAACTGTGACTAGCTAAAACTAGAAGTTATCTTGGTTGAATTATTTCCTTCATAGTATTTATTTTATTTTATTAAAATTTGGTGCGACCGGATTTCTACTTGTGGTGATTAAATTCCATTTACGGATTGATCTTATGTGGTTTGAATTTTTCATTGATTTTTCTGATTTTTTTTTATCATTACATTGTTATTTGGAACCAATTCTTGTATTTCTTGCTTGAACATTCAATGAAAGCAATTTTTTGGCATATTAAGTGGTATGAGATCCACAAATCCTATAGACCTATACTATGTATCAAATGTGTTATTTGTAAGCAAAAAATATCAAAGTAGCGAGCAAACAGAATGTTGTTCTCTGAAGCCCAAAGAATCACAGGTTTATGAGCCAAAATTACTTGAAAAGTTTAATGTCAAACTAAATTTGACGTCTCTCTTCTTCCTGAGGTGACTAATCCAAAGGCAAAGGGATTGGATTTCAGTTCATGTAAACCCATATAATGTGAAATACGACTGCAACTTTATATAGATGTTGCAATCTGAGACCATGGAACATCACAAGCATCGTTGGTGTCATAAATTCCAATCCTAAAGCCAACTAACTATATAAATGTATCATAATATCCTATCTGTCAACTGCAAGTTGTGTTCGAATCATAGAAAATACCTCTATAATATAGCACGGGTACGGCTCTATATATCAATTCCATTTTCTGGAGTCTATAAAATCCTTGTGCGCTAAATAGGCTCTTTATTTACTCATTGTACCCCGTACTCAGTGTATTATAAGCCCAACATAATCTTTTTCCAGCTTCCTCCATTGTCCACTATCCCCTCAACTGTTTTCAAAAAAGGGTTAAAATAAAACAGGATGGATTCGAAGTACTCACTGCAGAACTTTCAGAGCTTGTTAACTTAACATTTGGTAACTTCTTTTAAAACGTAATCAAATAAGAAACAACAGAAAAGCTGACGTTGAAAGAGATTTTAGCATGATTCCTAACACATATAAGCATATGACTGATTTAATTAAGCATATGGTTAAAATAATCAATACATTATTTTAACCACCTGATTTAATTAAAAAATTATGATCTCATCAATATACCTCGACATGTGTGTAATAGATCCATGATACATAAAGTCATCACACGTGGGAATTAATTGATTATACATTAAGACTGAATGGCATTATCAGTCTTAGATTCCCTTAATTACTTGTCATACACTTGATATATGTTTTACTACCTATTAACCCCCCTAGCTTCTAGTCAAACTTTTCACTAGGGACAATGCCTCCCCTACAAACACCGTGTTATATCTAAATATCATGCACTAAAATACAACAATAACAACAAGCCTTATCCAACTATATGTGGGGTCAGTTATATGAATCATTTTTCTCCATTATGTCCAATTAAGAGTTAAATTCTCTCTTTAAACCTAATAAAAAAAACTCATTTTTATTAATTTATAACTAAGTCTTTTTAGATCTACCTCTACCTTTCTTAATATAAGTTGGATCTAATATATCTACTCTCCTAATTGAGTCGTCAAAAAGCTTATATTTTATGTGATCAAACCATCCGCAAGTCGACCTCTCTAATCTTATTTGTCTCTAGAGGTACTCCAACATTTTTCAGTTATATTTGTTTCGCATTCTATCTCTCAGTGTAAAGCCACTCATCCACCTAAGCATCCTCATCTATGCAACATTTAAGTTTATGCTTTTCTTTTAATGCCCAACATTCTGCACCATAAAGTATTGTAAGTCTCACCACCATCTTCTAAAATTTTTCTTAAGTTTGAGGGGAGGGGTACTTTTCTATCACACAACAAGCCGCATGCATTCATCCATTTCAACCATCCAACATGAATTCTACTAATAATATCCCCATTTATTTCAGCATCGGTTTGAACAATAGTCCCGAGATACATAAAACATGACTCTTTTTAATGACTTGATCACCCAATGTCGCATTCCCACCACTAGATCTATTACTATTAAAATTACACTCCACCTATTTGGTTTTAGATCTACTCAACCTTCATAATTCAAGTTTTTCATCAACCCCCCACTAGTCTTATCAACAAGAAGATTGTCATAAGCAAAGAGTATACACCAAGGTACATCCACTTGCAAATGTCTAATAAGAACATCCATAACTGAAGGAAAAATATATGGGCTTAAAGCAGATCCTTGACATATTCCAGCTGAAATAGAAAAATACTTGGTTTACATATCTTACTTTGAATATCTTTTATAAATATTTATGTAGATAGTATAAAAAAGAGTAAAAGCTCAAAATAGTCCCCCTACTATCAATAAATGTCCAATTTAGTCCTAATATTTTGCATTGCCCTATTTTAGTCCCTCGGCTATTAGAATATGAGTCAATTTGATCCCTGACCATTTAAATTAACGAAGAGAGCCGGAGAGGTTCGTTTCGTTGGGGGCATTTAAGTAAAATACCTGCTCGATGCTTCCCGCTATACACCCTACACGAGTTCCCGTTAGATGCCCTGGAGACCTTTCTACGTAGGAGACATGAACGACCAAGGTTAATGCAAGCAAGGTAGCCAACACAAGCAAGCAAACCGGGCGAGATGTGTTGCGACATGCTTCGACGCAAGCAAGATAGGCAACGACGAGCAATGTGCGACATCCACGAGATGAAGCAAGGAAAGAAAGTGCATGAGCTTAATAGAAGAAAAAAGGGGGAGAGAGAGAAGAGAGAGATTGCAAGAAAGAAGGTTGAAAATGAATAATATATAAATTATATTTAATTACTTGAAATTTAGAGACTAGCCCCATTAACTCAATACACTCTTCTAGTAATGATAAAATAGAGCCAAGTAAGCAATTTTATCTCATCATTCACTTATAATACCTAAAATACCCCACCTATTTAACTTTTGGAGTTAACTTTAACTTGTTTAGGCTCTGTGATCAAATTCACTCAATTTTCAATAGTTGAGGGACAAAAATAGAGCAATACGAAACTCTAAGACTAAATTGGATATTTATTTATAATCGGGGGACTATTTTGAACTTTTACTCCATAGAAAAGTATGAATTTAATGTTGATCCCTATACAATCCTACTAATAATTAATACTAGTCACTAATCCATTATAATATAAATCAATAATATTTTCAACATAACTTTAACACACGTTTTCTTCTCAATGCCTATCAAATTAATTCTCATGATACTTACTAATAAGATTTTCCATATCAATAAAAATCATAAAAAATTTCTTCTATTCTAGTTTGGCATATAATAATGACATGATTGCAGGCTTTGATGAAGTGTTTTGAGTAAAAAAAACGGAGATATTTTCCCATGAGACGTATTAAAATATGTACCAAGATTTCACCATAACTATTTTTTGTAATTCTAAGGTTTAAAATTTCCTATAAATGCAACACTTCATAATTAATTACTACTATTGATTGGAGAACATTCTTGGTAAAGGTGGTTGTCCCCACTGTATATTTAAGAGTACAAGCTTATGCAATGGCATCCATATGCCCCTCGTTATGCTTCAAGGCAAGAAACCTTAAGAGTGACTAAAGAATACTAAGTCAGTGAGCCTTATGCTATGAATGTTGACATTAGGTTAAGGAGTTTGATATGACTTTGACTTTGAGTTAGTCAGCCTTAGTTGTGATTGTTGGGTGATCCATAAAGTTCTCTCATTTCAATCAATTTCCATTACCTTCTCGTTGATAAGCACCACTATCATTCTCTTTAATATAAGTAGTTCTTGCCATACTCTCTCACATATCTATCTTAACATTCAAATTACCATCACACTTAACTTAATAATCATTAACTTCTTGCTTGCCCAATACTAAGATACGAAGAAAAATAGAAAAAAATAACTACTTTGAATTTATTGATTGATTCTATACTAAATGTAGATGTATATATAGACTTTTCTAAAAGTCTTACGATAGAAATAAATCAAAGCTATTAAAAAAGAAAAAATGTCCCCAAGAGGGGCCGATGGCTAGAAGAAGAAGAGGTACACGGATTGCAATCTAAGGCTCATATGAGGATAGATTCAACAATTAGAACCATTAATTTGGATGCTCAAGGATTCCTACAAATATTGGTTGACTTGTGGGTGGTCCCTTGATCATTCTATGTTCTCCTTCAAACTAAATAATATAAATCTACCATTCAAAATTTGTTTACTATATTTTTAAGATGCATGATCTCTTTAACTTTATTTTTATTCAGTTTCATTTATGACTTTTGTGAATATGTCAAATAATTGATGTGAAACATATGCATGGAAACAAGAATTGCTTGGGGATTTTAATATAAGATTATTAAAATTTTACTAGTTATATAATTAATGCTTACCCAAGTTAGATTTTCAGAATCATCAAGCCGAAATTATGTAAGGCATGCGGTTACAACTAGATTAACGAGACAATATCAAATTGACAACATATAAATAGAGAGTAATGTTATGGCGAGAAACAATAATCCACGGTTAACAAATAGAACTCTCCACCTTGGGTCCCTCGCTCACGCTCTTGACGGTGGAGCTTTAATGGAGGAAGAATGAGAGGAAACCGAGCGATGCCACTAGGAGACAAATGGAGCCCAAAGTATAGTCCGTTGGAGAAGTAGCCAAAGGCGGGTAATCCACGGGATGACTAGTGAGCATCCAACGTCCGGGAAGAATAAAATCCGTGGTCAGTCTCAGGATCGGCCATGCACCGATGACGATGAGGTTGGGAGAGGAGGTCATCTTCTCTCTTGGCTTCAAGTTTCATGAGCAACTAAGTTTTCCCAAGAGTGGGGATGCAAGGGAGGGGGAGCGGCCAAGGTAGGGAGAAGGGGAAGGGGCGGCTTGAATGAGGAGCTTGGATTAGGCTAGGAGACGAAATCTGAAATTAATTTTAGATTTCCTTAATTTGAGTTGGGCTCTCATAATTTCAAATTTTGAAATTTGAAACTTAGATGTTAGGAGGGAAAGTGGGAATTAAAGGGGCTTAATTTGGAGCCTTGACTTAAGCTCCTAATTAAGGAAGGGAGGCAATGGGTGGCCTGCCATTGAGAAAGGGAAGAGGAAGTTTTGGAAATTCTGAAATTAACTCAGATGTAAGTGATTTTGTAGGAATTTAATTTGAATTTTGAATTTAAATTAAGGAGGGATTGGGATCTTTAATGGGAATTAATGGCAAAAGCCATCAATGAGTGGTCGATGGCATTGAGAGAGAAGGAGAGGGGTTAGGGGGAGACTAATTGCTTTCTAAATAAGTTGAGATCAAATAGGAGGGAAATTAATAATTCCCCTCTAAATGAAACTTGGATTGGATTCAAATTCGAAATATTTCCTTATTTGGAATTTTGCAAATATGGAAAGTTTTTTAATTTCAAATTTTGAATTTCAAATTTACTAACTCCTCCCTTTATTGCAAGAATCAAATTAGGGAGTCATTATGACGATTAAAATCATCATAATGAATTTGGGGGAAGATGGGGCCGGCGGTCAAGAGGAAGGAGGAGAGGGCGTCAGGTGAGGGGAAGGGGAAGGGCTTGGCTGTCGATGGGAGCTTGACGTGGTGGAACTAGGGAGGGCTTGGGGGAGAAAAGAGGAGGCCGGTGGTGGCAGGGGAATGGGGGCCAGTAGTTGGTGGCCGGTTTGTGGGAGCCGGCGGCAAGGGGAGAAGGGAAGAAGTGGTGGAAGATGATAGGAACCAAGAGCTCTCACAAAGAGGGTTGTTGGGTACTTCGATTGAGTCTCTCCTAGGCTCCCTCACTTGAGAACTCACAAAGAGAAATCCAGAACTCACAAAGAGATCCAAAACCAAAGTT